TGTAGGGAACAAATGCTGATGGAGTTATGCAGAGGTGCCTTAGCCCTGAACTTTGCTAGTTAGCATTGCAGATACTATCTAAAGAAAGAACAAAATCAAAGTTTAAAAAAAAAAAAGTTAAACTCTACTTTTGCCTTCCTCACACCAGCTCAGGGAAAGCACTGAGCCAGTAATGATAAATCCATTATTTAAACTGCTGATCAGGTACGTTTCTGTGGATATCTGTCAGTGCAAGTTTGACATACACACAGAGAGAATCTGGCCTGGAGCTATTGACTTAATAGCAAATATCTTTGGCCCAGAGTTTTAAAAGATTTTCCCACTGAAATCAGCATCAATAGAAAATGACAGTCAGTTAGAAATGTGTGAGAATAAATTATGACTTCTAGAGAGGTATTTCAGAAGAATAAAGTTTGCTCTCAGTCCCTGGATCAGAAAGACACCCAGATGTTGATGAAGTTTAACAGCAGGGCCCAGCTTCATACTTTGTCTCTACATTTCTTTGGCACAGGGCAAAATGCTGGATTTTATCAGTACAAGAGAGACACAAATTTGCTCTAACCAATATAAATAAGATTCTTCTTCCAGGCATCTGGAATCAGATCGTCTTTGTATTTTTTCCTTGCAGTCTGGTTTTCACACACATAAAATGATCTCTGTTGCTCCGGAGCACTGCAGTCTTGGATAGGTTACAATAAAGTGGCTTCTGCCTGGATAAGAAGGCTAAACACCCAGAAAGGCAGGATGTTTGCAATCTGAGCAAGCAGTCTTTATAAATAGAGGCTGGTTTTCTGTAGCACCTAGAGATGCTCTTGTCAGCTCATATAAATGGGCTGAACTTGGTGGTAGGTGAATGGCGAAATTAATGGTTTGCAATGTGGGCTCTACTCTTACCTGGTGCAGAGCAAAATGCTGCCTGGTAGGTGCTTTGTTCAAAACTGCCAGGACAAGCTGTGCTAGATGTGTGACATGGAAGGTGAGGCAGGATGGTGTAGAGCAAGGGCATCCATCACTTTACAATGGAAGCATCTTTTTGGCTTGTTAAATTAGGGAGAGAAATCAGCTCAGTAATGATTGCGATCCTGTGAGGAAGTATCAAGAGCATTACTCATGAACAACAGGAATTTTTACCTACTTGCAGTACAATGAACTAGTTGCTTTTGTGGTTGTGAAGCCCTTAATCTTTATAGGAGGCAGTCATAGGAGCCTTCTGGTCTGAGGAGTTTCTTTCTGTTTGCCCTGCCCCAGTCACAAGTTTCTCCTTGCATGCCAGGGCTTCCAGCGGTTAGTGGTAGCTCTGTGCAAGCCTTGTGAAAGCTAAGAAGAGGTCGATGGTTCACTCTAGGCACAGCATACATTACTTCCTTGGTATTTCTCTTTCCGCCTTCACAGTCTTTCCTTCCTTTCCTCTTCTTTCCTTGTCTTTCCTGATGTGTTTGAGATTATCTGGGACTGATGATAGCTGCTACTGCCCACAGGGGCTGTTCTCAGCACCTTGAAGATCCTGCCCTCTTCCTCAATTTAACTTGCTCCGAGGACTGAAGCAGACCTGAGACTGATGCTGCTGTTTTCTGCTCTGTCCCATGCCTGTCACACTTTGGAAAGCTAATGTTCAAATGCAGATGTGTGGTTGCAAGCTGGAACTGATTCAGAAAAACCGTTTCCCATCCCTCTTATACAGTTGGGAATGTGGACAGCCTGACTGTGGTGTCACAGATCCACACATTTCTGCTCCACTTCTAACACCTTCCTTTCCCTTGCCTTGCCCTGCTTCTCTGCCATCCCATGTGGTGGCAAGAATGATGGGTAATTCATTGTCTGGCTGCCAAGGCAGCTCCTGAGGGGCTAACGGCACCTGTTAGTGCTGAGAAAACAGCCTCTGGTGTGCATGTTTGACTGTTAGAAACTATGATACTAGGAGACTGACTGATGATAGATGAGATGTGGGCTGTTATGCTCTGTGAAGTATGAGATCCAGCTGTGGAAGTGGATTTACCCTCTGTGTATACTTGAAGCGTAACAGAGCCTCTGTGCATAAGGCCCATGGCTCAGTACTGCTGGATGTATCTTTGCACTGCTCCTAATGAACCCTGAGCCGCTTTGTTCCTCCTGTAGCTCATTGAAGGAAGACAAGCAGAAGGTAGACATAGCAGACTGGTTGTGTAGCTTTCCAGGCCCACTGAAAGAAAGGCAAGGCAAGGAACAGTAAGAGTGAACAGGCTTAAGGACAGAGTAAAAAGGCTTTGATGAGCTTTGCTTCCAACAGGAATTAATTGAACACACAATACCTGTCTCACTGACTCAGTAACAGAGGTGCTCTGCTTACTGTGCAGTAAGTATTTTATGAATTACTGTTGTCATTTCCCCTTGGTTTTTTTCAGTTTTGTATTTTCCAGCTGATTTCCTTCCTATCCTGTCTTTCCCACCTAATTCTGCTTTCAGCCTGATTGCAAAAGAGAGATTTATATGTTCATTCTCTACCTCTATCCCCCAGTTGCTCTCCCCACTCCCCTGCCAGTAACTTTAAATTCATTGGCTAGTTTGAGTCATATTTAATAGAGGTGTGAATGGCATTAACTTGGCATTAATTCCAAGGCTTAAAAAAATAGCAAGCACTGTGCTGGCGTGACCACTGAGCAAAACAGTTGTCTTGTTTGGCTTGCCACTGGCCAGCAAGAACCTGTGTGACTTGCAGCAAGGCAGACGGAGTACACTGCCATGCACTCAGCCACTGAAAAGTGTGGAAGGGAGCAGAGGTAGTGGTGGAGCAGAAGGTGAAGCGAGGGAAGGGGGAACATTGTGAGGGACACGAAATGGGGAGCTACAGCTACTGCAGGAGTTACCAGGACAAGGGAGATCAGGATAATGTCAGCACAGGTTGTTGCATGTTGTTCATCTGTGTTCTTCATGTAAATAATGAAAGCAATGTTCAACAAACATGTAATGATTTTCCTGGACTTCAAGCAAGAAGGATCATATGTGTAAGCCAAATGTTCATCCAGCATCACTGACAGAGTACCAATGACTCTTGTGAAATATTGCTGGTTTACACCAGCCAATCTACTCCATACGCTTTAGAGTCATACTTGGGCATGGGTCCAGGGTTTACAGCCCTGATAGGTTTCTGTTTAATTTCTAATAAAGTTTCACATCTATTACAGGGTTACCCCTTCCTCCTCACTGGAGAGAGGCAGTCCGGTAGGTTCAGAGACACCTGCAATCAGAGCCTCTGCTCATTATGAGTGTTGCAGAATTGTCCATCTTGGGAAGTTCAGTGCTGATCTTTCTCACACACAGCACAGCAATCAAAGAACAGCTCTGGAAGATAAATAATATACGGATAAATGATTCCCCTCCTTTGTGTTGGGCAGCCTGTTGCACAGAGCAGTGATTACACTGAACAATACACAGAATTTCATTCACCTTTAGCAAGATTCAGTCTCACCCAGGGAGGTGTCACACTAGCGCTTCCAGCATGCCCACCGCTCTGAGCAGTGTGACAGGTGCATTGCAGCTGGCATTGTCCATTCATCTGGGGAGCAAAACCTGTAAAGTAAATCCTTTGGTGTCTCAACGCTGCTCCCCTTGCAAAATGAATCCCAAAGCTCCATTTTTCAAACAAATTACATGGCTAAATTGTCCTTGGCTGGGCAGTCACATCTGGTTTAGGACTGTATTTAGCCAAATAAAAAATGGAAGGAATTCATCCAAGGAGGGGAAAAAAAGGGAAAAATAGAAAAAAGCTATGCTGTTCAAATCACCTGTGGTTTCTGCCTACTGACTGCCTTGCAGTATAGCTCAGGTCTGGAATTGATTGCTCAGTATAGAATTGGGCTTTTTACTCGGCTTTCACTTCAGATCTCTGACCCTTGCTTAGAAGAGGAGGGAATGGGTAGATTGAGATACTCATTTCCCTTTGGTTATGCCCTGAAAGGGAAAAAGAAGGCATCTGTATCCTTTCTTACTGTAACCATCTTGTGTAGCTGGTGAGTCACTGTGAATCAGAGGTAAAAAAGATTATTCCCCCCTCCCCATAAAAGGGCAGGAGAGGAGGCTATATGTTTTCAGGAAATGGTTACTCCACAAAAAGAAAGGTTTACGGGGAGGTGCACACCAGTGTTTTAAAGAATCAGTTAAATATATATATATGCAATGAACTATACTGTGTAAATAATAAAATATAGGCAGGTGATACATAGTCAGTAATGATTTTGTTTTATGGCACTGCACTGAATAAAACAGCTGGCAAGATGCAGCATTTTTCAATTATTTCATTAGTCAAGTATTGAGGCAGGTTTTTCCCCAACTCTTCAGAAGACATTAAGAGTTTTTTTACATTTGACCAGCCAATGCCCACTGATTAACTACTGCCTGCTGCACAGCCTGGACTTATTTCTAGTCTCAGCAGCAGTTTAGATCAGGTGGGATGGGCCAGCACAGCATCACATCAGTCTGGAGATATGTTTCATCACAAAAGATGGGCTGGCAGAGCCAGCAGTCCCTGTTACTGGAGAACCTGTGCTGGCTTGTGCACCAGTGGGACAGACCCATGGGCAGGTGTGCCTTTTGGGCACTGGGTAAAATAAGACTTGTTGTAAGAGAGAGCTAGAGGGTGGGATGGGCTTGTTTGGTCCAACAACCAACACAGGTAAATACTGAGCTAGCAAGTGGCTGCTGTGGAATAAGCAGTCACTGCCACCCAGTTGCTTGTCATTACTCACTGGCAGCAGTGATTTCCTCCTCCCCTCCAGGACTGGCTGCAGGCACCACTGATTCACACCTCAGTGCAGAAGCTGATGGTTTGGCTTCAGAGGCCGGTGAATGTGAGCCAGTGCTAAGCCTGCCCTTTCCATTGAAGCATCTGGCTTCTGCTGGCAAGAGCTGCAGGCTTCATCAGAGGGGCAGGAACAAGGAGTTGGCAGCCTTAGTCTGCCATAGCCGTTGGCTGCACAAACCTGTGTCAGTGCCCTGAGGGGCAAGATGAAACCTACACAGATGTGGAGGAGGGAAAGCACAAATGTGACTCACGCCGTTATACAAAATGTCATTCTCATTGTTCAAGGTGACTTTAGAGAGGAGCTAGCAGTGAGACAAAGAAACTGAGTGAGGACCAGTTCAGGCTACAAAGAAACTGAGTGAGGACCAGTTCAGGCTACAGATCTCCTAAAAAATTATGCTAAAAATTCAAAAGTGCCTCCCATGAGAACTGGGGAGATTCTTACAGGGGCATCCCAATGGAGCTGGAAAGCCGGATCCAGCTGATTCTGTCCCTGGGATTTGTATGACACAGTGTCTGCACATCCTTTGCATAGTTCATGGATATGAACTCTCTCTTGCACATTTTTGTAATCCTTTTGTGTATAACATCTGAGCTATGTCACTTGTAGGAGAGTTCCCAGTGCTGTATCAGTGATGAATCATGCCATGTTCTTGCTTTTAACCCACATTTGTCCCTTGTCTTTTGGTAGAATCAGCCCTCCTCCCTTTCCATGCTGGACTTGCTCCATGTGGCTCGTGACATTGCTTGTGGGTGTCAATACCTGGAGGAGAACCACTTCATTCACAGGTAGGTGAACACATGGTCAGCATGGACATGCATACAGGCCAGCAGGGACTTGTAATGCCCTGCTTGATAAGTTTATGTCCTGCTGCACTCTAGTGGCTGGATAACTTTAAACAAGGTAAGTAAAATCAGAATAATAGAAGCAATTAACAGAGAAGCTGCTATAAATCAGGTTGCAGAGGTCTGTAGTTTTACCTATGCTCTCCCTGTCATGAATTTTGCTTAGTGCCTTTCTGCTCCTTCTGGAACCCTTTTCTTCTCTCTCTCGAAGAACAGCTGTATAAGTGCAGCCGGAAGCGCAACACCTCGTGACTGTTTGGCAAGTGTCTAAAATTCTGCCCATTGAGTAAAGATGAGCACAGATAGATCATACTTCACTCTTCTGAAAGACTTACCCGCAAGACATGCCACCGTATTATTCAGATCTCAAGGTTTACTTCAGCCCAGCAAAGGTGGAGCCCGAGCTTTACCTGCATGCACAGATTCAGGTCCATACCTTCAGTCTTCAGAGCAACACCTGCACACTGTTGTTCTTTCTGTCTGTGACAGTATGACAACCGTGTGACAATATTTGAACAAGCACGCTAGGAACAGGTCAGTGGATCATTCCCCAGGCAGCTTGATGTTGGGACAAGCCCCACTGCTTGCAACTCCGTAGAGACTTAAAAATGTCTCCTGGTGTGAATGGCGGTTCACAGGAGGCCCATACTTTCAACTGGAAGATGTTATGTGAAGCTTAAAGAGCAGAACTGCTTCTGCTGATGGGTAGATTGGAATTTGGGACATGACTATTATCCATAAATACTGACTTTTCTGGCTGCTGTGGGCTCTCTGCAGCTCAGGAAAGTAGGTACTGTTCTTTGTTTTCTTTTTGGCTTGCAAAATTGTCGAATGATTAAGTGGTTCTCTTTTTGTTGCTTTTCTTCCATTTTCTTGTAGGGATATTGCTGCCAGGAACTGCCTCCTTACCTGTCGAGGGCCTGGGAGAGTGGCTAAAATTGGAGACTTTGGAATGGCCCGGGATATATACAGGTAGCAGAGCTGAGCCCAGGGTATCCACAAGTGGAAGCTTACTGAAATGAGGGAGGAGCAGTGTTTGTGCAGGGGAGCAGGCTTGTGTGCTGCTCTGCGTAACCCTAGCAAGGCCGCAGTGGAGAGATCCCACCCTGATGAATCTCTGCTAATACTTGGTGTTTGCTTCACCTGTAGTTTAACTGTGCTGTGGAGACTTTACCCACTCCTGACAGCTTTCTTCTGGGTAATGAAGTCTGATGGTTATGGAAAGCATGTTTCATCCCTCTTATACTCTGTCCTCAGTTTCTTGTCTTCAGTTTCTCCACACTGAATGGCATTGATGTGCCCTTTTGTTTTGTGGTATCAAATCATTCTGAGTTTAATCTCCTTGTTTTTACCCCTGCCTCTTTGTTTGGTGTCATGAGTAAATCTCCTCAATTTACTGCAGCTAAAGGAGGAAGGTGCAGAGGAAGGTCAGGAAAATGTAATCACCCAAACTGGAATTCAGCCAGGACACAGGGTTAACTACTCTGGTCTTGCAGGAAGTGCCAGGAAATCTTTAATGACCACAAGCAGTCAGGGCTGCGGTTTGATATCTCATCTTCCAGATAACACCTCCAGAAGTACAGGACCATGTCCTGCTGTGCTGAGGAATTGATTTGCCTCTGACTCAGAGGAAGGAATGCCTTGTACTCAGTCACCTGCACTGTTTATTACAGTGCCTTGCTTTTTTTTTTCCCCCTGCTTAGGGATTCTCCTGTGCAATTACTAAGCCAGACCTGGCTCTGCTTAGCTTGAGAACTGACAGTATCACAGCCTGAGGTGATGCAAACAGAGTGCTACCTTCAAAAACCCAAGGATAATCGAGCTGCTTTTTGGTTTTCTTTCCCCTCCTCTCTCTCACTTCAGAAAGAGCCCCCACTCTGCCCCATGTCAGATGGGATTCTGCTGGGACAAAGTAGCATCTGTCACGCTCATGCAGTCAGCAAAATTGACTGCCAACGTGACCGCTTTGGTGCTGAGTTTTCAAAGGTGCCTTTGAAGTTTGCACATGTTTCTGTGTCCAGGAATGCTTGGATGCTCAAGCTGTGTAGTTATGAACAGCGATGCCAGCTTGCATGAGCAGCCTCCTGCAGCTGCCAGCACAGAATTTGGGGCCTGTAAGTTTTATTTTAAATGGCAATGTCACTAAAGGACTGCTGTAATCGCTGTCTCAGGAGCAGGCAGTTGTTTTTTGTACCACTGCCCTGACTCTAATGGCCAAGCATCCTCTTCATCAAGCTCCTGCTTCTTATAAAGAGTTTTAGACTTCATTTGCAGTGCTTTAGACTACATATATATGGGACAGGCTTTGTTTATTTTTGGTGGGAGTGCTCAAGGTGAGGTGAGGTGGCTGAAAAGTGCAGACGGATATGTTCTGCCAACAGCAGTTTACATGTAATTCACTAGGAGTATGCACACAGATAAGGATAACTCGGGTTCACCAGATCAGGCCAAAAATGAGGGAGATGAGAGCAATCCTTCCATCGTCTGCCTACTTCCACTATTTTTGTGAGAAAGAACAGGTCTCTTCAGCATTTTCCCTGCTATGCTGTTTTGCCTAAATTACTCTCTCCTCTGGCTCATAATGTCAATAATTGTAATTATAAAAATCCCAAATTAATGACTGTTTCTGAATTTTTGCCTGAGTCTTTGTTTTGTTTGTTCTTTGCAGAGCCAGCTACTATCGGAAGGGTGGGTGCGCAATGTTGCCTGTCAAATGGATGCCGCCTGAGGCTTTCATGGAAGGGATATTTACATCAAAAACAGACACATGGTGCGCTTCCTTTCCCTTCTCTCTCCTGTCTGTCTGTCTGTGTTGTAACCCCTTTTGTAAAGTATGAACATTTTGTTAAAAACACACATTCTTGTTCATTTTTCCTTTACTAAAAAGACAAGCTGGGTCTTTCAGAGACAAGGGAACAGAAAGGTCAGACCTGTGCAAAGGCGGGTGCTGCTGAGGAGGTGAGCGGGCAAGGAAGGGAGGTTGAGGCAGACACAGGTGCTGCTTTGCTGCTACATGGAGGAAAGCCTTACTGCCACACTGAAGAAAGCAGCACAGGAGGCTGCTGGCAGGATCCGTCCTGCCCGTGAGGGAGAAGGGCATCATGTGTCGTGGCTTTCATTTTTCTCCTGGCCTGCAGCATCACCACAAGTTCTTGCGTTGCTGGTGGCCAGAGGAGGGGGAGAGAGATTGGGTGAGCAGGAGGCAAGAGCTCAGGATGTGCGTGGAGGGGAAGGGGCTGGTGTTCAGGACACAACCCCTGAGCAGGCCCCAGCAGAGGGGTAGGGCATGCTCTCATACAGCTGAGCAGCTGCCTGTCTCAACACCAAACAGAAGAGTTCCCCATTGCTGCGCATAGCTCTTGGCAAATCTGGTAACAAGATTGTGACTTCCAAGCAGCTGACCAGATGAATGCTTTGGAGGGAGCCCTCTCCCAGCCATTGGCCCCAGGGCTTTGCAGGCCACACCACACAGGCCCAGGACTGTGGTGTTAGCTGGGAAACGTTTGTATTGTACTCTGAGCTACAGATTTGGGCTATGGGGCTCAGAGCACCAGTGGGGATTCACTGTTGATGATATCTGGATCCTGCTGGAGAGATCAATGAGAACGTCCCTTCAGTCATGGTCACTCCCATATCCTTCACTTTGTTTTCCTTTGCTTCTGTACTCAGGTCCTTTGGCATATTGCTGTGGGAGATATTCTCATTGGGATACATGCCCTACCCTAGCAAAAGTAACCAGGAGGTTCTGGAGTTTGTCACCAATGGAGGAAGGATGGATCCACCTAAAAACTGCCCTGGCCCTGTGTATGAGATTTTAACTTTGATATATTAATGCAAATAAGTTTCTGTTTCAAATGCTGAATGCTTTTCAAAAATTAATGACTATTACTGCTAGTCAAAACTTAATGACTTTTAAGATTGATCTTATCATGGCTGATTTGCCTTATTGGACTTGAGTGCCAGTGACTTCTCTACTATTTAATTTTTCTGTCTGTTTTGGAGAATAATTCAGGGCCTCTTTGAGAAGTACTGCCCACTGCTTGTTTGGTCAAAGATGGTGCAATATTTCTGTGTCTTAGGTTAGCTGGGAAACTGCAAGTGCATAGGACTGTTCACAGGTAAGGAAAACTGGGCTCTGCTATCTGTAGGCCTGCCTACCTTTAGTGAATTGTGCAAGCAATTTCAGGTGGGTGAGTTACTTCTCTGATGTGGATTTCACCCCACTGGTGGCCACATCTCAGTGGCGACCAGTACATCAGTTGTCTGACTCCAGGAAAGGCACAGCACTCTTATTTATTAGAAGTCAGAGTGGTGATGCATGCTTATGGTCTTTAAGCTGCAGTGACTTGTTGTTAGGTACCAACAGGATCTGCCATTTATGAGCATCTCCTGCTCTGCTCTTTCAGTTATCGCATTATGACCCAGTGTTGGCAGCACCAGCCTGAAGACCGGCCAAATTTTGCCATAATCCTGGAGAGGATCGAGTACTGCACTCAGGTATCAGTGTTCATTTGTCTCAAATGAGAGGGGTGGAGAAGGCTCTCCTAGAGGAGCAGGTTATGCAAGCCAGAACACGAGATGAGGAGGCAGCAGTGCATTACTGCAGTCAGCAGTCCAGGACACTGATGTCAGCCTGTGACCAGTGGCGGAGATATTGACCTCATCAGGTGGTTGATCCTTCTTGTCTTTCACTGCTTACACAAGATACACAGTTTTACAAATAGCAGACCTGTAGCTCTGCTTCTGCTTATAGAGGCACAGATTTCAACAAGCAAAAGAGCTAAGGCAGGCCAGCACCCGGACATGCTTCACGTGCTTCATGTCAGCCACTCCATCCTACATTCCAGTGTTTACCCGTAAGACATGGTCAGCACTGAGCAGAAATGGTCCTGGCTCAGAGCACCCTTTGCAGGTGGCTTCTGCAGCTGTCGACAGCTTTCTGAATCTGACTGTGCTGGAGAAGGGAGGTGGAGACTGCCAAGCTAGAGGAGTGGGGATTCTAAGGCTAGGCAATGGGGAGAGGATGTGGCTGACTTACCAGGCCAAAATCTCATTTGTTTGTTTTTTTTTAACCACCATTTTTAGCTTATGAGGAGTGGAGTAGATTGGAAAATGTTTTGCTGCCTGCATCAGCGCAAGCCTCTTGTGTGGCCTCACATGGTTATTTGCCTCGCTCTTCAGAAGGCTCGATCTGTTTTTTATGTGTGTTTGGATTCTGGGATTGGGAGGCATTGTTTTCTGCTATCTATAGCTTGCCATTGCATCTAGCAATAATTAAAGGTTGCCCAGATCACCACATTTTCTCTCAGTTTAATTTTCAAAGCTGCTTAACTGGCTCAGGACCACAGTCCCTATGGATCCAGGCTTCAAGGGGTCTGCCAGTATTGCCTTCTCTCTGCATCCCCATTCCTCCCTTGTTGTGTGGAGGCAATACTTTCATGGCTGAAGCTTTCTCAATATTATCTGAGAACGTTATGAACTTCGAGATTATATAGGTTCCAAAACAACATTCCCACAGGAAATTTGGCTGGCCGTAAAAAGTGTTTTCCATTGTTTTTGTTCCTCTGCTGTTCTGTGGTGAGGTTTAGGGTTGCTTTTTTTGAGAGTTCCATTTTAGAGGGTATCTCATTGCATCTCACAGCTAACTGCATTTTTGTCAGCATACTCTACACAAGGAATGTGAGCTCTGGGTAGTGGGAATGATGCTCTGTGATCATAGCACAGCTGCTGTCAGATGCATCGGGTTTTCAATCGAGTCTGAGCATGCCTGGTGGTGGCAGACTGAGAAATCCTCATTGTTCTCTCCGGCAGGATCCAGATGTCATCAACACTGCTTTGCCAGTAGAATATGGTCCATCAGTTGAGGAGGAGGAGAAGGTAGCAATGCGCCCCGACGATCCAGAAGGAATTCCTCCTCTCTTGGTCTCCACACACCAAGACAGAAAGGATGAGAAGCAAACTCTGCCATCTCCCCTGCCCCTGCCGTCAGCCCTTACTGCTGGGAAACCCCTAGGGAAAGTGGGAGCCTTGCAGCCGCCAGCGCTGGGGAAGGTGCAGTCAGCCTCGGCAGGGGGACACACCAACATGGCCTATGCCCAGTCCAATCCCCCTTCTGAGCTGCACAAAAGCCGGGGCTCCAGAAACAAGCCCACCAACCTCTGGAATCCAACCTACGGCTCCTGGTTTGCAGAGAAGCAGGCCAGCAAAAACAGTTCTCTGCTGGAGAAGGAGAAGCCCGAGCGGGAGAATTGGGGACAGGAAGGAAACTGTACTGTGGGGCCCAACATTGGGACCGGCAGGCTGCCAGGCTCCTCCCTGCTGTTAGAGCCATCCTCCCTACCAGCCAGTGTTAAAGAAGTGCCTCTCTTTAGGCTCCGCCACTTCCCCTGTGGGAACGTCAACTATGGATACCAACAGCAGGGCTTACCCTTGGAAACCTCCACACCACCTTGCGCTAGCAGTTACGAGGACCCCCTCCTTAAAAACAAGAGCCACATAACGCAGCAGGGGCTGTAAGAGCCCTCTACCCTCTTGGCCTTCCCCCCTGTGGCTCCTGAGCCTTGAAGAGATGTCCCCTTACCCCGTACACCAGGAGCAAGGGATCTGCCACCATTACCTTCCATTTTGTGCTAACTTGCTCCAAAAGTGCCACCCTCGAAGCTGTAATTTCAACAAGCCTGAGAGGCTTCAAATCACCGGAGCCCCAGTAACAGTAAAAGAAAGGGGGACGGAGGATAGAGGAAGCAGATGTTCACTGCAAGGCCCAGCTGCTATTGCATCAACTCATACGCATGGTTGTTGTCATGCGCTTCCCGTGAGCTTGTCTCAGTTGTGCGTTCTCTGCTTAAGCATAAAGCCGCGGCTTGCTGCCTTCAGTGTTTCATGTTTTGGGTTTTCCGTGCCAAACTTGTGGTTGCTGTGGAACACATGGAGATTGCCTGCAGCTGGCAGAGGTTATAGGGGGTCTGGGGAGAGCATCCTCTATCCAACCCGAAAAAGGATACAGCAGTGCTGAACGGTGACGCAATGGCACAGTCCCACGTGGTGTTCCAGCTACAGTCCGGTCTTCGCAAGTCCTTGAATGCACAGCGGTGATGAGGGTGTTGGCAGGGTGATGGCAAGACACTGGTCATACTGCATCGCTTGAAAGAGAGGACGGGTGTAGATGCTATGAGGCATTCTGGTTGGGGGGGTGGGGGGATGGGGGGGGTTGTTTGGCTGAGGATTTTGTTTTGTTTTCCTGTGCTTAAGTACTAAAACTGAGAAAAGCCCTTTACAATTCTTTCTGTCCTACAAAAGCAGGAATATCCTTCATCAGAAACTTGTGTGTCTCAAGTGGAACCAAGGTGAAGTTTTAAAGGACCAGGGTCATGAGAAAAACTTTCACTGTGCCCTGAAAATGGACAGCCACCTGCGTACCTCAGAGGTCTGCAATAGCCTTTGACATGCCCTGTACAAACAACAACGTAAGGCGGAAGACTACATTGTGCCACCGTCCGGATGCCAGATACTGTCTGTATTTGAAGGGTTTGGAGCCCTTGTTCCTTTAACAAAATATGTGTATGATAGTGGTTTAAGGACAAACACTGCATCGACTCATTTTGTACACCTTGTGCATGGACAAATATCCAGTTAAGCGTATTGTCAGAACATAGATGTAGGAAATGAAATAACTCATGTGTAAAGATGTGCATTAGTAACTTCAACTTAGGGTTGCAAGGAGCTGTTTCAGCATGAATGCTATCCAAAAAAAGGGATGCCTATTTCCACAGAAATGGGTGTACTGGAGCATTAGCAACGGAATGTGAAGGTGTTCTTCAGCCTGAGACCCTTTGTTTCAGTGGCGTGACTCTGAGTCTGGCCCTGGATCCAAACGTGGAGGTAAGCTGCTTCTCTTTGTGTATACATATTCCTGGCCTTCGAGATGTGCAGGTTGAACTCGGAGGGCTTGGCTTGGGCCACCATCCTTGTAAGAAAAAAAAAAAAACAACCTAAGAGAGGGAGTGTTGTGTGCTCTCCTAACATGACTTTCTGATGCCTCTGAGACACAGAACTGAAACCCTTTTATAAACAAATGCTGAAATTGTGTGTGGTGGTTGGTTAAGGGGGCTGTGCTTGTCTTGGGAAACTCAAGCCAGGAGCTCCTCCGAAATTCATGTTTGTCTGCAGGGGATCCATGGCACCGCGGCTGCATGGGCTCAGTGGGGGATAATGAGGGTTATGCTTCGGGTGTTCGCTCTGCGCCCAGGCTGCTGAAGCTTGGACTAAGAGAATATTTGCGATCTCCAAGGTAGTCAGGCTCACAGCTCTTGTCATGAAATGGTCACTGGGGAGGGATTCTGTCTAGTTTAGGACACTGTTAGTGCAACACTGCTCTCTTTCTAGCTCAGTAAACTCAATGGGGTAGTTTCTAGAGTCTCAGGAAAGCTGATTAATTCAGGAGCTAAGCACTATCATCAGAACCATTTCTTACTCTTGTATATTATTCACACATAATAGCAATTTTCATTTTAATATTCCAGCTTTCTCATTTTCAGAAGGGCTGAAGCTCCTCAGTTTTCTTTAGCTCTTCTTTGCACTGTACGGGGGCACACGGAGCTTTTGCTGCCTTGCCTCTTACGTGTGACTGAGGGCAGGATCTGACGTGTGTGCTGATGAGCCTTCTTACAGAATGCACACGAACTAAAGAGCTGTGTGGTTAATGATCTCTGACCAGCTGAAGTTACTAATTCATGGATCCAGAGCAGCAGCTCTGATGCTGCAGAAATGCAGATAAGCTGCCAGGTTATGATGTTTAAAGGTAACATTTCTAAAGAAGCTTTAAAAGCACAAGCAGCAAGAGCTGGGTTCATGGGGGTGAAGCGGGAAAGGCAGGCTTTCCCCAGCCACAGCCATAGTGTCACCATTACTGCTCTGCAGTTAGTTTATCATTGAATTTCAGCTGAAATTCTCATACAGAATGGGAGTTGTAAAAAAATGAAGGAGCTAAACACGTCACTGGTTCTTACCTCTGGAATAGGTGAGGAGGTAATTCTGGTCAGAGGAAATGGTGAATTACTACTGAACTGCTCCAGTCTGCTGGGTACAGTGCACTGAGATAAACACTGCTCAGCACTAGCAGTTGGTGTTAAGGAAGCTTCCTGCAGCATCTCCAGTGGGAAATGCTTCATTGTGAGGTTTTCTTATGTTGGGTTTTGGTGGGGAAGTTTGCTTTTTTTAAAAAAGAAAAAAAAAAATCCCCCTCTTAACTCTTGGGATGCAGAAGAGCTAGAAATCCAGTTTGGGCTTCTTTTTAACATAAAAACGTAGCATCCCAGCTCTTCCACAGCAACCGTTTAGGATGGTACCTCTGTGTGCTGGCCAAGGACAGGACCCCAGTTTGAAAAAAATTATTTGTAAATATTGATGCTAACCAGATCTTGCCACTTACAAACGAGGGTTGGAGCATTTGCCTGTCCTCTTTCTTAGAAGACAAATATTATACGATCAGTGACAAATGATTTCCCTGAATTAACTGCCTGGACCAAAGGGTGCTCTGCTACTTATCACAGACGCTTTCCTGGTCGTTCTGCAATTGGATGGCTTGGCTTTAAGCATCTGTCCTGTTGCCAAAGCACTGCCAGGATTTCAGTGACACTGCAAGATTTTATTTGTGGCACTGGGATGATGTGAAGAAAGCTTTCCTTAATGATACCCATTTCCTCTGTCACTACAGTAACAATTCACACTCCAGCGCCATCAATTACTGCACTATCTCAAATTGGCTGAAGGGCTGACAGGAACGATGTAATATTTCATCAGTAAGCACAAGAGCTGCAGTCGAGGGGGGGGTGGGTGTGTGTGGCTTAACTTCCGTACAAGAAGGTACTTCATAGGATGTGTTTTACCATTTCTCTTCCATTTTCCCATTCCATCTGGCAGTATTTTAATTTCTGCGTCTGGACAGACTCACCTGTGCAGTTCACAGAGCCACAGGGAACAGAAGGGGCTTAAGTCACCATGAGCTCACCAGACCAAAACAGCACCCTGGCATCTGTAAATCCCAAATTCCCTTATTAAACCCCTCCACACTAGGCTTACAGTGCTGTAGGAGGGAAAAAACCCAACCATTAAGTTCTTTTAATCCTCTTGCCCATTTTTTATCTATGACCTTTATTTTAAAATATAGTTATTGAGACAATGTATATTTACATCCTGGTCTTTTGTGTCTTCCTCACTCTACAGTGGAAAAGTGGGAAGCAGTATGATCTACAGGATGTAAAGCACGGCTGGGAAAATCCTGTGCTCCCACTCTCATACTCTGAAAACGGCTTATTTCCATGTGGATGATGCCACCTGTTTCCTAGACCTTGGGTAGGATTCTGATTCTGCAAGCTGCTGAAGGTGAAGGAGGTTGGGGTGTCTGTTTTATCTGCCTTTCCAGCTGTCCTTTCGTCTTTCTTTTCGCTACTGAACCTTGTTTCTCCATCCTGTGCCTCAAAATGAAGCGAGGCGAGAAGTTTGGGTGGTTCTGCTTCCTCAGGGAGCAGTGGAAGGAGAAGTGGCAGGAGAGGAGCTTTGCCATAGCAAAGGGAGGTGCAGGTGCCATGGGTTGAAAGCACAAGGGCTGCAGTAATTTGGCTGAGTCCCCCTTTCACAGTGGTGCAGCATCACTGGGCCAATGGCCTCCCTCCCCCTCTTCACAAAAGGATGCAGGCTCAGGGTGAGAGCAGCTGCAGCACCGCTGGGCGCAGTCGTTCATACACCGCACGATGCAAGAGGTCTGAAACAGGCTACGAAGGCTTCAACTTTGCACGTCTGCTCCTGTTACTGAGCAGCCTGACAAGAACCTCAACCTAGGAATAGCATAGAACAGCCTTTCACTGCAAAGACATCACTGTCCGTCTGTCCCAAAGTTAAACCTATCACAGGAACGTGTCCAAAGTGTCTGCATCTGGCTTCTTTCAGTAACCCAGCTTCATTATAGAAGTGTCTGTCTCACGTACAGCAGTTTATGCAAAATTGTTCATAAAGGGCGGGCCTGTGCACTTCAGGGATATTATGAAGGAAAATACTAATATATGGTCATTGAGTATTTTGTATTGAATAGTGTATTTGTATTGTAAACAAGTGTAGTGAACCACAAGGCATGAAGACAAATAAAATGACTGTAGCTGGTTTCCTCTGTGTTGGGCTGTGTAATGACTGTCTCAACAACCAGTCACTTTTGTAATAACCAAGGGAGGGCTCTGGGCATCATTTTTTTCTTGGTAAAGGGTTAAGGTGCACCAACACACAAAGGAGTAGGGATGGTGGTCAACCAAGACAGCTGCTTTTTGGGCTAGCAGCAGCATGGTTAAGACTGGTTTGCACTGCAAATCACAGAATCACAGAACATTAGG